ACAGTGACCAAAGTAGTATCAAACAATATTACTTGTTAATGTTAGGAAAAATGCAGAAAGTATTTATGTGCAAACTTATTTATTTATTTGGTTCAAAGTCTTATTTTTGAGTGTGGATGTGTTAGCTCAGATCATGTCCGAGTGTTCTCTGTCCAGCAGGCTGACTGTACGGTAAGTCAATGTGATATTGGCTGGCAGTGAAGTTTGACTGCGTGTCTCTGGAAGCTGTCAGAAGAGAAAGCTCTGAAAGGTCGGGACAGATCAGAGAAGATGAATGTTGACTGAGGAGGACAGCTGTTTTGGAGAAGGGGGAACACCAGCGTCTCTAAACCATTCATCCCCAACAGCACAGAAGAGCCCGGACCCCGCATTCGTCCTCCAGAGCCACTCGTCCTCCTCATGAAGACGGATTAAAGGAGTAAACATCGCTCCTTATGGAAACTAGAGATATAATTTGACAAATATGTAAAGATATTTTATTATTTTATTCTTAAGATTAATTAAAAGTTAGCAACTTTTTTGTCTCTTTATACTGTATTCGAGTTATATCCAGGTATTCCACATTATTCCATTTGTCTTTTAGAAGTTCTATTCAAATGTTTTAAGATTCATAGAATTTTGTTTACTGTATACTGTATATTTGTTTTCTTTATCTTACATTAATTTACGTAATAAATGTAAACGTAAAAATTACATTTATTATAAGTCGCTTCTCAAGTCATTTATCAAAATACAACAAAACTAGTTTTTTATTATAAGATAAATAACATTTTAATTGTAAAGTAAAAACAAATGGGCAAAGCAGTGGCACAGTAGGTAGTGCTGCCTCACAGTAAGAAGGTCACTGGGTCACTGGTTTGAGCCTCGGCTCAATTGGTGTTTCTGTGTGGAGTTTGCATGTTCTCCCTGCTTTTGCGTGGGTTTCCTCTACAGTCCAAAGACATGCGGTACAGGTGAATTGGGTAGTCTAAATTGTCCGTAGTTTATGAGTGTGTGTGTGTGTGAATGTGTGTTTGGATGTTTCCCAGAGATGGGTTGCGGCTGGAAGTGCATCAGTTGCGTAAAAAAACTTCTCCGTTAAAAAGAAAATGGGGAAATATATAAACAGGGGGGCTAATAATGCTGTCTTCTAATGTATTTTTGTTTATGCATAAACCCAGGCAAGAATTAAGAAAAAAATATTTCGATAAATCATAAATTCAGTATCTCTGTAGTATCCTCAGTAGAGCTGATACAATTAAACGCATGTACAATTCATTTAAAAAAAAAAACAAAGAGAAAAACCTCATTAACATTTTGAAAATATGTACAGATATTTTAAGAAATTCTAGCTGTTGAAAGAGCTTTGAAGCCTCAAAAAAACAGTAATGAGATGCTTTGTCAGTTACAGATTTGAAAAGCAAAAAGGCGGAAAAAACAAAAGCTTAAACAACCATCTGAAAAGAAGCCTTTTTGACTCTCAAGTGTAATATCTGAACATCTCAGCCTCTTAAACAAAAGCTAATTACAAAATGTCACATGATTGCAATGATAAAAAATGTCAGCGGAAATATTACAACCTCATTTGTTTAATAAAACTTGTTAAGTGGCAAGCAGAAAACAAACAGAAGGGATTATCGGTTCAGTCATTGGAAACATGTCATTTGCTGTTAGCATGAGAAGAACTGAAGCACTGGAGCTCATGCCTTTGTCCTTTCAAGAGGGAAAACTGCTAATGACCTCTGAAGGCAGAGATCGAAAACAGTCATAAAGATGTGGCCATTGATGACTGACCCAATATAGTAATGTAATGCTAATAGCAGCACTGGATGACATGCCATGCTTTCTGCTTATACTGTGGACTATATACCACATTAACTGTATTCGTCTTATGTTTTTGCTTCTCTGTTCAGGCATGGAAGGACATGAGGATGTCTTTTGTGTCTTTATATTGTTTTTTCATGCTACATTGTACAGTTGAGATTAAAGTCAGGAAAGTGTGGGGAGCAGAAACAGGGGAACGATTGACAAAAGAACATCAAGTAGGGAATCGCACTGAAGAAATACGCTGCGGTTTGTCACAACACAAACAACAGAAGAAACGCACTGCAATGTCACAACACAATAAACAACTGAAGAAATGCGCTACATTTATTAAATACTCTGCAAACTATTAAAACAACAGCCCCTTTCACACAGTGATACCGGTAAATATATGGAAAATTTCCGAAACGACTTTACCTGTAAATTCAAAAAAAGTGCTGTTCACACAGGCGAGGACGTTACGGAATTTTTCCGGAAAAGAGCATTCACACATCCATTCCAAAATACCGGTAAATTCTGACATTATTAACCAGAAATGACCTCTAAACGGCTGCACTTGTATTTGTAAATATTTGACTACATCACAAACGCTGTGGATGGATCAGTATTGTGAACAACTTAGATGAAAACATACTGAGAAACACTTTTGCATGTCGAGATGTACATGATATGTGTCACAGGCTGTTTCATGGGCACACGCAAATTTAAGCTTGAAGGTAAACAAACAGCTTATCATAAGCATCTTATCGATAATTATTTACACGGTTGGCATTAAGATGAACATATAAACGTGATCTGACTAACTTCTAGCAGCTAAATGTGTCTGGAAAAATATTCAAAGGCTTTTATTCTCATTAACTGCGCGGACGTGAATGCGCTTGACTGTTCTGATTGGCTAAAGCAGACGTCTCACGTTAGCACGTTCTATACATGCACGCGATCTTTCCGGCAATCTTCATTCTGCTTTCACACAGCGCAGCATTCCGACAAATTACCGGTAATGTTACAACTTCTGTTTTCGGAAAAAAGCCAGAACGAATTTACCGGTGTTTTCAAAAAGGATCATGTTCACACATACACACCTTTCCGGAAAATTGCCGGTAATTTTCCGGAAAGGTGTGTATGTGTGAAAGGGGCTAATGTTTAACATTTATTCATCAGTTTATTTTGGCTAATAATTTACAAAAGACAATGGAATTGTGTAATCAAAGACATCCAATTACTTCATTAAGCAACTGTCATGACATAATAACTTTTCCATATCTCTGCAGGGTCCGTCGTGTTTTTGGATCCCCTTCAAACATTTCCATTGTGTTACATATATATTTGCAAGTGTTGTGAAAAAATGCAGTGCGTTTCTTCAGTCGTTTGTGTTGTGCAAAATGCAGCACATTTCTTTACATTTATATAGCGCTTTTCTGTGCACTTATAGCGCTTTACACAAAGGGGGAATCTCCCCGTCCACCACCAGTGTGCAGCATCCACCTGGATGACTCGATGGCAGCCATATTGCGCTAGACCGCACACCAAGCACCAGATAATTGGTGGAGAGGAGACAGAGTGATGAAGCCATTTATGATATGGGGATGTTTGAGATGCCATAATGGACAGAGACCAGTGGGCAAAATTGGCCAGGAGGCCGGAGTTAAACCCCTGCTCTTTTTTGAAGGAAATCCTGGGATTTTTAACAACCACAGGGAGTCAGGACCTCAGTTTACCATTTCATCCGAAAGACGGCGCTCACTGAGCAGTATAGTGTCCCCGTCGCTATACTTTGGCATTAGCACCCAGACAGACCTCAGGTTGGGCGCCCCCCGCTGGCCTCACTAACTCCACAAATTTGTGTCAGTCTTCAGTTGTTTGTGTTGTGAGAATTTGCAACATTTGTGCCGTCAAACTGATGAAGATTGTTTCTTAATTTGCTGATGTTTTTGTAATACCATGTGTTTTCTTAAATAGCAGCGCTTTAAGCTATCTTGGCCAGCGCAAATTGCGCATATAGCAAATTTCCCAAGTCATCAATGATTGGATTTACAAGAAGGCAATGCTTCCTTGAAAGGGTTTCCATGTTGTTTGTTGCATTTTTCCACAAAACTATGAGTGGCATGTATTGTGTATTCTATAGTCTTTAATAAAACCTGCTCTGGATCGAAGCCTGATCATAACCAACCCACTCTGTGTTTGCTCGAGCTAAAAGCAAACTTCCCTGCGTAAAAACCTAAACCATCATTGTGCAACAGACCTCTGATAAAGAAGGGATTAAGCTGGAAGAAGTGACTTTGTGTTATGGTGCTTGAACCTTATGCAAAATAGCAATGCAGCAAATCAACATGAAATGTAAGCCAAGGTTAGAAGCTAACATTTTAGCTTACCAGCCAGTTTAGCTAGTACATTTTTCAAGTTATAGTATTGCTGCTGTTGATTATTATTATTTCTTATATTTGTTAGATGTCAAAATTGTCCGTATTGGCAAATTTCATTCTAAACCATTAGCCATCAGAATCAATAGGGAAATCCCTACACTATATATATATATATATATATATATATATATATATATATATATATATATATATATATATATATATATATATATATATATATATATATATATATATATTACATACAAACTGACTTCAAATATCCTTACCAACTAATATTTAACCATCAACCCATTTTTATTAGCAATGTTGCTTACAGTCAATATCAATATATTATCTAAATGAGAATTGACACTTGATTTCTAACTGGATTACAAAAGACTTGACTCTATAAATGAATTGCAAAAATTTGTAATTAAAAAAATAATCAATCAACCAATCAATTTAACAGTCATTTATTTGTTTGTTTACTTAATTTTTTAGCTTTGTGACCAACCATTTTGCAGGGTACAGTTTGAATTTGTCATATACATTCCTAGCTGCCATTTTACAAAATAATTATAACATTTGTCATATAAAATCTATCAATCAATCAAATCATCAATTACTTAATCAATCAATCAATCAATCAATCAATCAATCAATCCATCAATCATTTAAATGGTTGTTGTCATTACCATTATCATTACAATAAATTTTAGTTATTTTTTAACTTTAGTTATTTACTTTTTGTTCACCTTGGCATTTCTCGATTTGTAAACTTTCTTTGTTTCCAGGCTAAATAGAACCTTGTTGCCAATAGTATGTTTTACCTACCAGTACACAGGCTTTGAGTGACAGCTGTCATGTCTTCGTCAAACTTAACGTATATGTCAGAAGCCACTGGTATGATGGACTTTATCTTTGGGGCTTCCCTGTGATGACACACACAAAGAGAAAAGGGAAGATCAATACAGGGCAACCCCTCAGGAGCCACTGGGACTGCAAATATGATATGATTTATTAATTACTGCAGAGGAAATGAGAAAGAGGGATGCTTAGTTTTTCATTATTAAATTTCAAATGGATTTAACTGTATTCGCAATTATAAAATGTTCTTTATTTTGATTTGAAGGTTTCCTATAATAGATTTACAAGCCTCCAAGGTTAAAAAAAATCTCATAATATACATTATAGAATGAGCTAATTGTTTAAAGAGTCTTCGCTTGATTCATTTGAAGATTTGTTCGTTACTGTAAACACATTTCCATAAACGCAAGATCTCACATGTTCCCAGCATCATTTCATAGATTTGAGTTATGAGCATTGATGCTTTATTGTAAGCTTTAATATGTGTTTGTTTAAGCAGGCATGCATGTCTTTGTAAAGGCACAATATGTACAATATTTAAATATCCAAAACACACATTATATTACAATAGGCCAAATGTTTTGAAGAATGTTAAAGTCCAGTGAAATAACTTATTTAAATTGTGACACCAACAAACGATTTACCTTGTAGAGCATTAAAATAGACTGCACAGGGCAACATACTGATAAAACCGTAACATGTATTTAGTCTAGTGAAAAAGCACTGCTTCTTCCCCGATTGATCATGACAGGAAGAACCAGAAGCGGTGGACTGTGGCATAATAAAAGCTCTTGTGTTTTTGTGTTGCATCACATTAATCTGTCAGCAATTGTTTCAGTGATCTGATTCTGCTTTGATGGCCTTCATGCTTATAGGTGCCGTGTAAAAGTTTTTGACTCTTCTAAAGCCTAAAGTGCATGTGTCTGTGACTGAAATGTAACCTCAGGTGGACAGTAAAAGCTTCCAAAATGAGATGCAGATTCAGAGTTCCACATGATGTCGTTATTAATTAGCAAATAATATAAGTATTACGAACATAAACATTAGGTGAGCAGGTTACACTGTAATTCCGTGTTCAAGCAACACGCTACATACTGGCATTAAGCAATTTGCACCAGACAAAACATGACAGGAATTTAAATACAGCCATTCAGAAGCACAGAATAGTGCACGTACTGCACTCCAGCAAGATGATAAGGTTTACAATCCTATTAATACATATTACACCTATTAAATGTACATGTAAATCACTGATATGTGTTGGTCTGCACTGAGTCACAGCTCTTAAGTTTAATTTCAAAGCTGTTGCTGCTTTCAGTTGTATGGCAATAAAAGTCATGTAAAATGGCATTCAAACTCACATTGTCAGCATTTAACACTGAATAAAGCACTTGAGGTGTACCCAAGGTCATTATTGTCAGTTTTCTGTTGTTCAGCTACAAAAAGTAGAAGCTGTTTCTAAAATTTAAATGTCAGGCGTTGGTTAGAACAAAAAATCCTTTTAATATAGAAACTATTTCTTCTATCATATGCCATAGTTTTTATTTAGAACACGACTTAAACCAGCCTTAAGGCTCGATAGACAGTCTCACTCCTGTTGGTGTCGTCAATCTGGCAACCTGTGCTTGTGTGTTTTTTGAACCAGGTGTGCAATACCTTGTTCAACCTCTAGGTGTCAAACTTACTGCACATTTAATCTGCTTTATACTATGTAAAAATAGAGTTGAATACTTAAGCTTATGAAGATGGTTTCAGCAGGAGACCTGTAGCAAGTTATGAAGATGATAACTCTAATGATTCCACACTCAGTCACAACATCATCAAGCTCTGTCTTTGTTTGTTGTGAATACATGTCCACTAGTGGCGAAAATTAACTTCTATGCCTTTAACCTGTATATGTAATTGCTGTGAGCATGTGTGTTTTATTCAAGCCCTACATGGCTCCTCATACTCATAAACAACTAAGGGCCCTACCATACACCTGGCGTAATTGGGTGCAAGATGTGTTTGGCGCGATTTGTTGCTATTTTCTGACCAGCATGACCCTAATTTTCACGTTTCGCGCGCTTTGTTTATATAGCAAATTTATTTGCGCCACTCGGACTCATGGGTGTTCCGGTCTAAAAAGGAGGTGTGTTTAGGCGCATTGTGGCACGATGCTATTTTGAGAAACTGAAATAGACAGCAACATTGACTTTCCAAAAGCAGGTGTAACGTCCAGTGCAGAAAGCATTAGATATGTGCCTATGCAGGTCCAAAACGTGTACACATTGCATACACACAGTATGAACAGCAATACACGAATATCTTTAGATAAAAAAAAGTAAAGGATTAAAATGTTACCAAAGATTTTATTTTCTACATAAATATAAAAACCACTGTCTCCATGCCTCCATTCTTCCTGTCTGAGAGGCTTTTTCAGTTTATTCATTACAGTTTGCATTTTTATATTGTTATTAGTATCATTAGCTGTATTATTTATTATATGCATGTTAATATTTGTTTTAATAAAAACAAGTGTAGATTATCAACCCTGTCAGGTTTTGGAGACGTAAGCATCACCATACAGGGCATAAGATAAGAACGTGTGTTTAGATATAAATCAGTTTTTTAACCACATTTTGTTATCATTGTTCATTTATTTATTTGCTGGAAATTAGAACAGAATTTTGAAACAGTTTTGAAAAATCTTTGGCCTTAACAAACGAAATATAAATATGTAGGCTAATGAAGCTCTTCATTGAAGTGCATACAACCATTTTCAAGTAGAGAGTAAAATTATAGAGAAAGTAAGTAGGCCAAATGGAGAATGCTCATTCTTTATCCTTGCGCTGCAGGTGGTCTCTTTAACAGTTTTCTCTCTAGTGCAGGTTTCAGTTTCTCTACTTACAAAGTTGCCATGTAAATAGCAAATGTGCCATGGCGCGATGCAACTGACTCTTACAGGAACTGGCTGATGAAACTCTGATTGGTTTGATGCATATTATGATTTTAAAGATTATAACTCTGTCTTTCGGGTGAAAACTCACAAATCGCAGTAATTTTGCTTTATTTTGACAATAAAGGCTCCTGCACATGATGTTGACAAAAAACAGCAGGAGTGTTTGAAGGCGGATCGCAGTACATGTTGTTGGCAGGCAGCCAATGAAGAGCATTGGCTGACAATATGCAAATATGTAACAGATCTACAAATATGTGATGGAAACAAAAACTACTGATGACTCATTTAAGTGGTTCAGAATTGATTCCATTTATACATGTATATTTTAAACCTATATCTCTTTGAATAGCATACTCAACTAATTCTTGATTCACAGCTGTCCACTAGTGTCCAGCGCTGCATGCTGGGATTGAGGTAACAGTGTCAGTGGCTCTCTCTACACCTGCCGTTGGGTTTGACGGAGCCCTGATTCATGGCCCTCTGCCCACAATCGGCAAGCATCAATTACTCTTATTTACTCTCACCGTGATTAAGATGCTGTCACATAATGTCACTCAAGCATATTTTTATAGATCAAATGAAAACTGGCACCAAGGAAAAGCAGGTCAAGTTCATCAATTAAAAGAGGTGCTGTTTTGTTATTTATATATTTAGTCACTTCTCTCTCTCTCTCTCCCTCTCTCTCTCTCTCTAAATGGAGCTGTACATATAAAGTGCTCTGCGGGTGATTGATTTTAGTGTTAATCTTGCATAAAGCATAACACACTTTTGCATGAGTAATCACAATGGCAAATATTGACACAGCACTATTGCGCAAAACAAATTTGTCTTAAGAGATTGAGACTCATGAATGGACAGTAATGTAGAAACTTGAAAATAATGTTCATACTGTTTCATAAGAACAGTATGCACCTTTTATGACTTTCCTCTGCAGAACACAAAGGTGAATTTTGGAAGAATGACCTGTTCAGCAAATTCAGATAAGGGTCTGGGTCTAAATAATTGTAAAATAATGCACACACACACACACACACACACACACGCACACACACACACACACACACACACACACACACACACACACACAGTAAATACACAGAGTTGTGTGAAATTGTCATTTTTATTCAGCCATTTATTAGGTGATGTTTAATAGAGATGATTTTTTAGTTGTTGTTTTAATGATGTATATAATTTAATAATGTACTTAAAGTGTGACTAGGTTAATTAGATTAACTACTCGAGGTAGGTTAATTAGGCAAGTCATTGGACAACAGTGGTTTGTTTTGTAGCCAATCCAGAAAAAGAAAATCTAATAATAATTATCAGGCTACTAAAATTGACCTTCATTTATTATTGTTTTTATGCTTTTATTACAGCCAAACTAAAACAAGTACTTTCTCCAGGAGAAAAATATATATAACACATACAAACACACTTGTTTTTGTTTTGTTTTTTTGTAAAAAAAATAAAACTATAATATATGTTTTAAGTTTTGCATTTAAATGTGCTTCTAAATAATAAAAACAATAGCATTCAATATTTCACTACTTCAATAATGTACCTAAAGTGTACATTTAAAGCTTAAAGTGCAACCAGGTTAATTAGGTTAACTACTCAAGGTAGGTTTATTAGGCAAGTCATTGGACAACAGTGGTTTGTTTTGTAGCCAATCGAGAAAAAAATCTCTAATAATAAAATCGAGGCTACTAATTTTGACCTTTGGTTTTTTTTTTTTTTTTTTTTTTGTATTATTAAAAATGCTTTTATTCCAGCCAAACTAAAAAAAACTCTTGCTCCAGAAGAAAAAAATATATAACAAACACACACACACACACACACACACACACACACACACACACACACACACACACACACACACAAAACTATATACATGTTTTATGTTTTGCATTTAAATGTGTTTCTATATGATAAAATAACATTCAATATTTCACTATGTTATATTTTTGTTGGGGCTGCATGGTGGCGCAGTGGGTAGCATGTTCGCCTCACAGCAAGAAGGTTGCTGGTTTGAGCCTCGGCTGGGTCAGTTTGCATTTCTGTGTGGAGTTTGCATGTTCTCCCAGTGTTCGTGTGGGTTTCCTCTGGGTGCTCTGGTTTCCCCCACAGTCCAAAGACATGTGGTACAGTTGAATTGGGTAGGCTAAGTTGTCCGTAGTGTATGAGTGTGACTGAGTGTGTGTGGATGTTTCCCAGTGATGGGTTGTAGCTGGAGGAGCATCTGCTGTGTAAAACATATGCTGGATAAGGTGGCAGTTCATTCCTCTGTGGTGACCCCAGATTAATAAAGAGACTAATGCTAAAAGAAAAATGAATATTTTGTTATAAAAAATATTGTTATACCAAACACACATTTTAAATGACTTTAATCTTTTGCAACCAGTTACACACTATTGCTGTTAGGGGTTTGCTAATGGTGGGAAAAGTTCGATTTTAGTGTGTAAGCAATCGTATAAATTTGTAATAAGAAATCTTCTGTAACATTTCAAAGTCTTACCACATTACTGATCAATTTCACATCTGCTTGATAAATAAAAGCTGTTATTTCTTATGCTCTTCTTTAAATCTAAACATATTAAAGTCAGAATTATTAGCCCCCGTTTATTTTTTTACCCAATTTCTGTTTAATGGAGACAAGATTTTTTCAACACATTTCTAAAGATAACAGTTTTAATAACTCATTTGACAGTAAATAATATTTTACTAGTTATTTTTCAGGACACATCTATACAGCTTAAAGTGACATTTAAGGCTTAACTAGGTTAATTAGGTTGAGGCAGGTTAGGGTAACTACATTAGAAAAGAAATATCCATCACTTTACGATTTATTTCCGGCAGCTGGGGTGCCAGAAAAAAAAGAAAAATAATGCATTTAAATTACTCAATTTTACTGTAAAATAACAGATATTAAATTACAGAAATTTTAATTGGAGGAAATTTCTGTATTTTAATATCTGTTATTTTATGTTATATTTCTGTCATTTTACAGCCACTATTTTACTTTTTTTTTTGGCACCCCAGCTGCTGAAAATAAACTGTAATGATGGTTTGTTCTGTAGACTATTGGAAAAATTTGTAGCCTAAAGAGGCTAATAATTAAAAAAAATTATAACTTCTTTTATTTTAGCCGAAATGAAACAAATAAGACTCCAGAGGAACATATATTATCAGACATACTGTACTGTGAAAATTTCCTTGCTCTACAGCATAGATATATTTTAATTTAATAACGTTAATCATACATTTTGTATATAAAAACATACACAGACATTTCATTTTCAATACATGAAACGGTAGGGGGAGGGGGGGTAATTCAGGAAGACATTTCAAGAGGTCAAGGCCTTTTTTGCGGAATGATTGTTATTTTTTATAAACGTCGCTGACAGGGCCAGAAATGAAAGTGTTAAAAATCTATGATCTTCAGAGCATGTGTCCGCCGAAAAAGAATGAGCTTCACCCAGTGCTTTAAAGATAAAAAAAAAATGCAATGGAAGAGAATGAGAGGGGAAAGAGGAGAAGTTGAATATATATTTCAGATGATAAGAGAAAAGATGAAGCAGAGGGAGAAAAGATTCTATTACGGCGGCGACAGTTACAAACCTGCCCTTGTGTGGAGTAGCCTCTGCTGGAAAGATTGATGCAATGAGTTTTGACCTTGGCTTGGAGCTAAAACTGGTGATGTATGTATGAGCATCTCCTTGCTAAATGGACCCAGATTTGTTGCGCTAATATACATGGAAGCCCAGTACCAAACTCAGCACGGCGATAAATCAGCGGCCATTTGAGGTGTCATCTCTGGTTTATATTCCTCTTCTGTTTCTATTGCTCTAATCCATGTCAGTAGCGTCATTCCAAACGAAACTGCATTATATTAGGCTGTCGTCACTGGGATGATATTGGTCGGTACATTAGTATTATGGGAATTTGTGCTTAAAAATAACAAAAACAAGGAAGTATTCGTGTTAGGGTTAGGTGATGTGGGCAAAACAGTTGTCATTATGTTGAATTACGTATTATACAATATCACAATATTTATCTTAAAGAGATAAACTCATGTATGACAATATATTAAATAATTTCTCAACTTTAAATTGTTCTAAAATTATTACATTTTCTTGTTTTTGATGTTGTGGTAATAATAATTGTTATTACTGTTATTAAAATAGTAATACTAATAATAAAGTAATACTAATAACCTTTATTCTATATAATGCTTTAAAAATTAGCATCTCATCTAAAATATAAAAGTATGTAAAACGTTGAAGTAAAAGATATGCACAAGGATATATGCATGCAAAGAAATATTTGAAAACACATATAAAAACATATAAAATAAAAATCTAAACTAAAAAGTAAGTTTTAAGTGATGGATTAAAAAAATCATTTGCATCCCTATAATAAAAGGGCTGAACATAAGAGTTGTTGAAGAATTCTTGATTTTCATCTTTCACATATTCCCTGTACTTAGTACATTTACGTAATTATGCATACATGAAACTAGCATGTTTACTAATTTTTATGTGGCATGTTTTAATCCTATAACAAGTTTAAGTTACTATTTTAATTGATTGATTGATTGATTGATTGATTGATTGATTGATTGATTGATTGATTGATTGATTGATTGATTGATTCATTCATTCATTCATTCATTCATTCATTCATTCATTCATTCATTCATTCATTCATTCATTCTTTCATTCATCGACTGATTTTTCTTTGAGTATACAGAGAGGTGAGAGTGTGTCATATATGTGGTTCGTCGCACTCATAATTATGTTTTCCAAAAACAAGGAGTGTTGAAAAGAAAGTGCCTGGTGCTCACGGAGAGGAGATAGTGTATCAGTGGCTTTTCATCCAGTAACCTGGTGATTTGTAACCCTAAATCCAATCCATTCATATAGTAAGTATGTGCTATTAATTAGCATTACTAAGTAGATATATTAATAGTTACACTGTAACAACTTAAAATAAAGTTTAACTTAAAGGGAATCTATGATGAAAATCAACTTTTGTAAGTTGTTTGGACAGAACTGTGTGTAGGTAAAGTGTGTCCACAGTCATATAAATAAACAGATTTTTTTTTTAAGCTAAAACTTTACAGACACATTCTGGAGACACAAAATACTTTCTTGAAAAAGTGGTAAAATAGGAGCCCTTCAACAGTTTCATTTTTGGTTGAACTATTGCTTTAATTTAGCTACCCATTTAAATTTTTTATTATGTTTTTCACACATCTTTTTTTTCAAATAATATTTATTTTCTTTGTTTTATGATTTAATAGAAAGGTATAGTCAAAATAATATCTAATAAAATCAATTAATACAAAATAATAATTAGTTGCATGTTAAACAAAAAAACTGTATAACTGATGTTTCATGTTTGCATGATGATGACAGACTGAAAGCTCTGTTATTCTCGTAGTATTGTTATTAACTAGAATTATTAACAGCTTACTACTTTGAAATTTCTGCCTTTTGGGGGGGTGGGGGGTTACCTACAAACTGAATGGCAAACAAACATATATATACATATATATATATATATATATATATATATATATATATATATATATATATTTTTTTTTTTTTTTTTCTGTTTAATATTTGCACTTTATATTCATCAATTCGTCAATTGTTTTTGCTAAGATGTTTATATTTTAATCCATTTTTTTAAAAAGAAAAAAAATTACAAGCAATACTATTTTCTGATCATACTTTGAAGTTTTTCTTCTTTTGGTCAAATGAACCTTTATGAAAAAAAATATATATAGTAATATAAAATAAAATATAACAAAAAATAAAACTATAACATAAAACTGGATCTATTGTGGTGAGTCTATAGTTGTTATGGTTTAAAATTATAATAATATAAGCCATTTACTCAATAGTTTTACAATGATGTGTTATATTATACCACAGTTTACTGTTGTAAAACTAAAGTTCATTATTTTTTACAATTATTAATTCAGTATAGTTATATTTGCTGTATGCTATATCATCTCCTAACTAAGTGTTTATTATAATATATACAATATAAAACACTTCAGAAACACAATGGTATTTAATATGTATATAAGTAATTACTGCAGTAATTTTTCTATGTGGGATGTTTCATAGGATTTTGCATCGCAAGAGCAGCACTGTACCAGGTGAGCTAATGTACCAAGCAAGTTTATAATGTTGAAAAAAAGCTGTAGATATGGAGATAAAGGTACACACATCTGAAAATAAGGTTGTCACTGGGGTGGTATCCTTTAAATAAGTACTTTTTTTTGTAATTAAAGGATAAATAATACCAGAACATCCATATTGGTACCTTAAAATAACAGTAATACCTTAAGGGTCCATATTGTACTTTAGAGGCAAGTAAAAGGTACACAAATTTTCCTTTTTTGAAATAAACGTAATTTAAATTAAATGTATAGGCACATGTTTGTTGTTTGTTTTTTTAAGAAAATCACTTTTCTATTTCATTCTATAGTATCAAACACCTCTGAAACCTTATTTAGAGCTGACTTGACCCAAAATGAGGGAAAACGTTTAAATGCTTTTGAGTGTTATTACACCACAATAATACAGCGTCCCAGACACAAGTCCCAGAGGTAAACAAGGTTAGTCCTACACACTGATATATGCTTGCTATTCTAATTCCCTCAATTGAGTTGCAGGAGACTTATGGAGGTGGATATGGAAGAAAGCATCTCTTACCCTTCTCGTCCTGTTCTGGGCTTCAAACACTTCTCCTCACAACCTTTCTTTTCTCAGTTCCTCCTCCGCTAGAGTTCTGTTTGATGACCTTTCAGTCTGTTTACATGTTTCTGTGGAGAAGGTAACCTTTTGCTCCCGGTGTTTTTCTGTAATGGAATGGTAGACCGCTGAAAAGATGAAAACGGGATAAAGAATTGCCATGCTCGAATTAGAATTTCAAAGCATGCCAAAAACAGTGTGAAATATATGTATTCCTATCTAAAACTGATGAAGCCAGTTTGTGAAATGAGCTACTGCCAAGATATTGATCAGCTGTTGTTGCAAATCAAAAGATGTGTTGAGTAAAATGTCTGATTTTAAAGGCACAGTTCACCCAAAACTTTTAATTCTTTTTAATTTTTAAGACCTTTTCTCCAACGTTTTGAATGCGGACTGCAATACCTAGTTCAACCACTAAATGTCATTCACCTTAAAAAAACACTACAAAGACAATTTGTATTAAAAGTTATGCAAAGTGTTATGTTTAAATACGGCAATGAGAAATATCTGAATGTCAGGTTCACAATTTTGAGAATCTCTTTTCAATCACTCCATAATTTTAAAAACATTACACATGAGCCGAAACTAAAATTGTAATTTTAGTAATTTTTTAAACATGATCAGTCAAATTATCTATGATGCCTCTGTAAAAACTGTGACTTCATCAACTGTAAAAGGCTGATGAAATATGTATTGTAAGTTAAGCACAAGTTGAAAAGGTTTTTATAAAAGAAAGTGTGTATTAAAGAAGTTTTTTGGATGTTTTATTTTATTACACTGAAGAAAGCACAACAATCTCAAAATAGATAGGTCCCTTAATAACTTAATACAATTTTTAAAAGCAAGTATTGATGGTAGAACATTTTAATGCAGTGATAATTTAACATGTGTTATTCTGTAAGTTATTTCACTAAAAAGACACTATTTTCTAAAATTTATTTATACATTTTCTTGATAATTAGGATTGTTCTGTCGATGATGAGCTGAGTTCAGAGAGTCTCGTTACACTCGTTCAGAGCAGTGCTCTTGATATTTGCAGTGATCTCTACCTGCTCTGGCATTTGTAATTGAATGACACTTCACACTCATTTTAAACTGTAGCTAATCATGAGTGATCCTAATAAAGGCCATAACGGCCTCTGATGTGTCTCCTCTTTCTCTTTCTCTCCCTTACACTATTTTTATGCATTAAATAAAATAAAATAAAATAAAATTAAATTAAATTAAATAAAATATTAAATGAAATGAAATGAAATGAAATTAAATTTAATTTAATTTAATTTAATTTAATTTAATTTAATTTAATTTAATAATTCTGTGTTCAGTAGTATGTATTCTAAGGAATCTTCATTAATGCTTATTATACTAATGCTTATAATACTTCATCTGCTTATAAAAATGTTAATTAGACAGACCGACAGACATGTTTTCATTTTGTAGAGAAATTGCTTGACATAATTTATTGACTAAAAATTACCAAAACTGGAGGATTAAAGAAAAATAAATCTGAAATATTCTAAAAATATATTCAGTGGTTATTTGAAAAGTGGTAAAAAGTGCAATCTAATGTAAAAAGGAGACAAAAAACTACTGAATTGAAATATTTGACTTAATTGACTTAATTTGATTTAATTTCTTTATTTCTCCCTTTATAAGGTATATATTTAGCATTAAATTATGCTACAAAACATAAAATACTATTTGTTTCTTTAATTTAAATACATTCTGTCAGTGCACAACATACAGAAAAAAATAAATAAACCAACCAACATTGTTTTTCTCTCATGTTCACCAATACATTTTTGTCTTTTTAAGTATCGTATGATAAAGAGAAAGTTTAAAACAGCTTATTTAATACACTATTGTTATATCAAAAATGAAGTTAGACTTTGTGTTGTTTCATTATGGAAGGAATCCAGCTGCTCCCTTTCATTTCATTTCATTTCAATCCCTCCTACATTACCATCAATATAGAGCCCTTCAGAAATGTAAAGATCACCCTAAAAATCACCCTATATTAGAAAATCTTATCACTCAAAGACATATTTAACTCCGTCTATGTTTTAATCAAATATTTGCTTCATATATATTTCTTCTCTGACATCCGTGGCCCAGAATGTAACGGTCAAAGTGTCGCCTAAAACAAATCAATCATTTTGCTATTGAAGCCGCTAATGATGCATTTGGCCATTGTGAGCATCCCGTTATCTCTGACATAGAGGTCAGAGAGGGGCGTCCCATCATGAAAAACCCTCCGCCGCACCTGCCACATGTTCTACGAAAATGAGCATATCACCAAAATCACAATCTCTTTCTGTTTTACTTGTATGTGAACAGAAAGTCAAACTTGCTGTAAATGTTATTTATATTATACCTGGCTAAAATACATTTTAAATATGTTAGAATTAGGGCGACGCAGTGGTGCAGTAGGTATTGCTGTCTCCTCGCAGCGAGAAGGTCGCTGGTTCGAACCTCGGCTCAGTTGGCGTTTCGGTGTGGAGTATGCATGTTCTCCCTGCGTTCGCGTGGGTTTCCTCCGGGTGCTCCGGTTTCCCCCACAGTCCAAAGACATGTGGTTCAGGTGAACTGGGTAGAATAATTGTACGTAGTGTATGAGTGTGTGTGTGAATGTGTGTGTGGATGTTTTCCAGAGATGGGTTGCGGCTGGAAGGGCATCCGCTGCGTAAAAACGTGCTGGATAAGTTGGCGGTTGATTCCGCTGTGGCGACCCCGGATTAATAAAGGGACTAAGCCAACAAGAAAATGAATGAATGAATGAATGTTATAAAACTCACATCTCAATTAATATAAGTTTTGCAGCCAAAAAGATTTAATTTCAACTTTATTAAACGTAAATCATTTTTTAAAATGCATTTCAAGGTCACAAAGAAAAATTTCCAACCTCGAAAAACAATACAAACAAAACCTCAATTGTTTTAAAGAACTGCATGTTAAAATATAATAATAGAAATGTATGTTAAAATATGTACAACTGGACAAATTATGTGCAGCTAAATAAATGAACAGATTTTTGTCTTTTAAAATTGTAGCAAATTTCCCAATGTGTCCAGAGGATTTTTATTGTTATTATTATTATTATTATTATAATTATTATTATTATTATTATTATTATTATTATTATTATTTTCCCTGTTTTAGACATTTTAGACATCAACTAAAGATTTTCTTCAAGTGTTACATCTTGATGTAGATTTGCTTAGAAAATAAATAGGCAAGTACATTTTTAAATGATTTTAAATCTATAAAATAAATTATATTTTGTTTTATCACTTTAATATTTTAATATTTAAAAAAATAGCAAATATTTTATTTAGCAAATATATTTTTGGCAATTGTTTATTTTATGTATAGTTTAAAATATATTTCAAAATGTTCATTTATTTTATAAATACAGGATTTTTCATTATTTTAGGAACTCTTTCAGTCAGCTTATACAGTGTCTTACTCCCTCTGTATTACCAATTCTGCCTCCAGATCTCTTATCAGTGCGATGTATGTTTGTACGGATGGATCCTCACACACTATGAATGAATTACTGGACGTGTGCTATTGGGAGGCAATAGATACAGAAATTGGAGCCCTGTAATATGTTTGCTTTCTTAGCCTTATCATTTCAGACAAAAATGCTGCTTATCTGGCAACCGCTCACAATTGACTGAATGTAAAGCTGTTTCCTCACACCATCGCCTCCTGTCAACAGCTTATTATTGCCTGATCTTTGTCTTGAGGGAGTAAATGAAATGTGTATATTATTTAATTGTACATACTGTAGGCTAATCTACAACCCCAAATCAAGAAAAAGTTAGGACAGTATGGAAAACACGAATAAAAAAAGAAAGAAGTTATTTCTAAATTGTATCTTGTTCTATTTCATTGCAGATAATATAACAGCACCTCATTAAATGGTTTCTTTTTTTTTTAATAAACACTTATTCCAGTTTTGGATCTTGCAACACATTTTTTAAAAAGTTGCAACAGTAAAGCATTTACCACTTGAGTGTAATGTTGTGTAACATTATTTTTAAAAGATCACTTAAAAGATGTTTAGGGACTGAAGATACCAAGTGATGAAGTGCTTCAGGTTTAATTTTGTCCCATTCTTCTCGCAAACAAGTCTTAAGATTGGTCAACAGTACAATTACAGTCTTTGTTGTTGCATTTTTGTGCTTCAAAATGCACCACACATTCTCTATTGGAGAAAGGTCAGGACAGCAGGCAGGCCAGTCAAGTACCTGTATCCTCTTCCTCCACAGCCAGGAGTGTGTAATGAATGCAGAATGTGGCTTTGCATTATCTTGTTGAAATATGCATAGGTGTCCCTAGAATAAAAGGCAGCATAGTGTGCTTCAAAATTTCTATTTACTTTTCATCATTAATGGTGCCATCATAGAAGTCAAGTTACCTTTGCCAAGGGTACTGACACAACCCAAAACCATGACAGACCCTGGCTTTTAAACTTGTTACTGGAAACAGTCTGAAACATCATTTTCTTCTTTGGTCAAGAGCACACAGCGTCCATTTCTTCCAAAAATACTAATAAATCTGACCACAGTACACATGAAATAATCTATCCCAGATGCATGAGACCAGAGAAGTCGAGGGCGTTTCTGAACACTGTTAACATAGGGCTTTCTTTCAGCCCTGTGCAGTTTTAACTAGGATTTGTGGATGTAACTACATATTGTGGTACTTGACAAAAGTAGTCCTGAGCCCATGTGGTGACATAGCTTATAGATGAATGATGGTTCGTGATGCAGTGCTGCTTGAGGGATCGGAGATTGCGGTTGTTCAGCTTAAGCTTCTTTACACACTGAAATTCCTTCAGATTCTCCTAAAGGACTAGACCTTTGTTGGATGCTACTTTTGTACGAAATCATAATTACAAATCACCTGTTAACATCACCTGTTTCAAATCTTTATCTAGCCAACTTACCTGATTACCTAAATTGATCCTGTCACAACTTTTTTTGGGATGCGTTGCAAGTCTGAATAACAGGAAAGAATTTATATTTACAAATGAAATTAAGATGACCAGAGAAAACATGAAATATTTGTGTGCATATTGTGTGCAATGAAATAAGTCAAAAAAAAATTTATTTGATGATTTATTAGTTTTTATTTGTGTTTTCCCTACTGCCCCAACATTTTCTGATTTGCGGTTGTATATAAACACACACCAAAAGTTAGAAAGAGGTTAGCGATCCTTTTGTATTGTGAATTGTAATACAAATCATATTAATGTAATGCATACACACATAACTATATTAAGTGAAGTAAATTTTGTTGTTGTTACTGACTGTGTTTTATTATTATCATTATTATTATTATTATTATTATTATTATTATTATTATTATTATTATTATTATTATTATTATTATTATTGTTGTTGTTGTTGTTGTTTTATATATATATAGAAGTCCTTGATATAAATGATGAATCTGCGCACTTCATTATTTTCGAAGAACTTTATCACATATAACATTTTACAAAGTTTAATTTCAACACAATATCAGCATGGATCATGTTACATTAACCATCATAATAATATTTTGGGGATTTTAATGTTTACTGTAAAATACTTCTATTTAAATATAGTTTACGGTATTACTATTTGATTTGTTTTGTTTTTTGTTTTGTTTGTTTTGTTGTTTTGTAGATAGAAAAACAAATAAATCGATTAAAAATGTATTTATCAGTGCATGCAAATTCTCACAACATGCAAATGAAGAAAAGACCCCACATAAAGTGACAAACTCGGCTGTTTCCAGCTTAGAGCCAGCGGTTCATTAAACGGTAGTTTAAGTACCAATTATTGGCTGTTTGTTAGGCCTACTTATAAGTACATATTCCTCATGATCCCATTCTACAACCCTAATCTTACAAAATGCCTAAACCACCTTAAAACTATTAATAAGCAGCAAATTAAGAGTCCACTGTGCTAAAAGTCATAGCTAATAGTTTATTAATAGTGAGAATTGTACCTTAAAATAAAGTGTGATAAAAAAAAAAACATTTAATTCATTGTCAAGAGAAATACCTGAAATATTAAAAGCATGCAATCTCATTTGTATTTTGTTCTTTTTTTCTATTGAGCATTGACTGTTTTCTGTCCTGCTGTAGAGAAGCCATTAGCTGTAGTGAATAAGTGCAACACAAGAGCAGCACCTACTGAGCCGCTGAAGCCAGAGCTGCAGGATGGGGATCTGATGTGACATCACGAGCAGAAGGAGAGACGTCCTGCTGGCCCCTGACAAGCTTCTCAACATCCAAACTAAAACACAGACTGAGAGACAGAGAGAGAGCAAGAGAGAGAGAGAGAGAGAGAGAGAGAAAACAGCACAGGTGCTTCACACAAAAACTGCCTTCAACTGGAGACAATAAGGACTGAATAAACACAGTGTTATGTCACAGTGTCTGATACTGCAGGCAAAAACACAGTTTGTTCATGTATTCTGTCAAACCTGAGATGTAAGCTTTTCATTTTAATGTAAAGAAAACAATCAAGCTGTTCCACATTTGTAACAGTTACTTTTATCAGTTTTGTTGATTTTAATTCTAATATTTTTAAAAGCTATTTCGCAAGATTTTTACATTGAGCCATAAACGCCCACCTCAGGTATACTTTCATACACCAATCCTAATATTTTCATGCATATCTATATAGTGAAGACTTTTTTGTTTTAACAAATCATGTTAATGTCTCTGATTATGTACGACAACATTTACTTTGGTAAAAATAAAATGTGTTGTTTGCATAATTTTCTGAATTATGGAGTGATAAAAAGTCTAAATTATTAGCCCTGAAATGAAATTTGAAATGTTGATTCTTTTTTAAATTCTTTCTCAAGAGCTGTTTTCTCAGAGACGGAGATGGATGATGTTGAGTTAATAAAGGATTTATAACATACAAATGAACTATTAGTATATGATAACATTGATTTCAATAGTATATCAATTGTTTACTAACTCATTCTGAACACTCTTAAATACAAATGGTTTGTAAATAATGCAATAGTCAATCAGTCACAAAATATGAAAGCACAATTGTTATACACATTATAAATATGCTTATAAGGCAAGAATACAGCATTTGTAGCACCAGTTATAAACTGCTTTCTAATGTCTTATTTGCTATATGAATTCACTATATGCTAATGCTTTATAAACTATTCACAGTAAGTAATTATAAAGTGTTACCAACTTTTAACAAAATCATCTTAATAACTAATTTCTAATGACTAATTTTTGTTTGCCAAGATGATAGTAATTGACTCGTTATTTAGTAAGATACACCTTTTCAGCTTAATGTGTAATTTAAAGGTTGAACTAAGGTAACTAGTCAAATTATGTTAATAAATTGTAAGTTAAAAATCATTTGACAACAATGATTTGTTCTGTTGCCAATCAAAAAAATAATAATCTTAAGTAGGCTAAATATTCACATTTTATTTAAAATTAATAAAATAATTAAAATTTAATTAAAAATATAATAATAATAATAATAATAATAATAATAATAATAATAATAATAATAATAATAATAATAATAATAATAATAAAATAGCTTTTATTCCAGCCAAACTAAAATTAACTACTTTCTAAAGAAGAAAAACAAATTATAAGATCTCTCTCCTTTAAACATCACTTGGGAAATTTTTCACTGGAAGGCTAATAATTTTGCTTTCAATGATGTCAAATAATTAAGCTATTTTAAAACAATGAAGCGATATTTGTGCTGGATATATGCAAATAAGCATGTTTAATCATTAGCATATTTAATCATAATGTTTGCAAAACTGTTGCAAACTATTTATCTGGGCTGAATTTAAACACACTAATTGATTTTAGTAATGTTCGACTTAATTTATTTCAATTCAGCCCAGATAAATTGTTTACAACCACTTACCTAAAAACATTTAGTAAATTCAAGGAATCATCTTTGAATCATTGTTTTTTTCAGTGTAGAAAACCTGTAATACAAAACAATATATGTAATTCAGTCAACTGGTGAGGTAATGGCAATAAATGCTATTATATTTTGTTCCCTACTCCATTCACCTGCCGTGTCTTGCCTTAATCAGCTGGAATGAAATAAGTGCACTTTACTCCAGCGCTGCGTCTGACGGCTCTCATTACAGGAGGATCACCCTGCAAAATCCCTCAAGTGAAATGATGAGAGCAAAGCAGATGAAAAACAGCTTTTACAATTCATTTGTCACACAGCGGGAGCATTTAAAGTTGCAGGATCTAAACACACACACTTTATCTTGTTCATTTACTGCAATGAACAAACAAAAATCACTGTTTTACATGGTTAAGTTGAATCAAATAACTATATGTTTTATTGTAACTTACATTAGATTAAACTGGTGTAAAACTTTAGCCTGTTTTTTCATCAGTTAACAAAGCATAAAAACATGGGTAACACTTTACAGTAAGGTTCATTAGTTAATGCATTTACTAACATGAACTAATCATGAACAACACATGTGCATGCAGCATTTATTAATTATAATTGAACATTTACTAATGCATTATTAATATCCAAGTCCATGCTGTTAACATTAGTTAATGCACCATGAGTTAACATGAACTAACAATGAACTACTGTATTTTCATTAACTAACGTGAACAAACACAGTAGTAAATTTATTGTTCATGTTAGTAAATGCATTAATTAACATTAACTAATGAACCTTATTGTAAAGTATGACCAAAACATGTTGGCTTGACTTATTGTTTGTGTATTTCCTTATTGTGTACTGTAAAATTTTGATTGTTAGTTACAGAATAATGCTATTGAAATTTGCTAATGAATTGATTTAATTTAACAAAATCAAAAGATATTTTGATTAATATTTGTTCTATTTTAATTAACATATTTATAGTTGCATTAAATAATCAAATTGATGGTAAATAATGTTACAAAAGATTTATAATTTATTCAAATATTTAAAACAGTCACAACAGGTTTTGTATTGTTGGCAGACATAAAAAACTGAACGATGCTTGCAGCAATTACTAACCTTAAATTTAACTTTTACATTTATACATTAGTAAAATCAAAAGCTATATTTGTTAAAAATAATTCATTCACTATGACCACACAACCAGTAAAAGCAATGAACACTTTAAGAACTACTCTTTACAAAAATAATAAATGCTGCTTAGAACTCAAATAGTCCACGTTACCTAATATGTTGACTTTTTTATTTTCTAAACTATGAATTCAGCAAAAACTAACGCCTGTTTCACACCGCAAGCGTCAGCGGCGCGTGAGCAGAGCGTGAGCAGCGCGTGTGTTTTCGGCGTCCATGTTAACAGATTAGAGCTTTCATACCGCACGCAGCAGCAGCGCGTCAGAGCGAGGCGTGAGCGTCGCCGAAGCAGCAGTGCAGCGATAGTTTCGGCGCTGGGTCTATTTTTGACGCGCTGCTCACGCTCAATTAAAGTGACAGTGCATTGAGAATGACCAAAACACATTGAATGACAGTAAAAACTAACAATTTTACCCAATAAATACGTTAATAATGTCAAATGGTTTATATATAGTCATTCAAATGAACTTAAAACGATTAAAAACGGCAACAAACATTTATTTAGGCCCGAACTACAAAACCAAATGTAAAATTATTTTACTATCAGTTTTGCTTAAGTTGCACACTAGTGTTGTAGGAGAGGGGAAATGGAATATTTACGGGATTTGTAGTCCATAGCAAAGTGTATTGTGGGTAGTGTAGTGCGACACGCATGCTGGATTATGTGAGCTCGCTGTGTTCTGTGCAGCTAGCAGAGCAAGAAAGTTTTAATCGGCTTTGTTTTATGTTCACTCGAATTATTCCTACCGGGAGCTGTTTGCACTGTGAATCTGACAACACGAAAATAAGTAAAAGAATGGCATGCATTGGTAACTTTTGTCCGTCTCATCATCTGCACGAGCATGAATTAACGAGCTGTTATTCTGCCGCTGGACATCACTAAAGCGGAGAAATTAACACTAGTTTGATCAAGTATAAATATCATTATAACTATATTGTATAAATATGATGATAACTAGGTCTACAGCAACCTGATAATCAAAAAACAAATGACATGATATCACAGGCAATTGTCTTCTGACTGTAGACAATTCTCATATAAGTTAGCTTTAGAAGCATACAGTACTATTTGATCTATAAAATTTGTAAAATAAACATTTGCAGGTTAATGAAACAGCAGGGGCCTTGGTACAGATGAAAAGTTTAAAAAGTGTATTTGTATATAGAGGGGTAACTAGATAGAATAGACAGAGATAGGTTGATCTCAGCAGCAGCTGCCGAAGAGCTGCGCGCTGCAGACGCAGCTGGTGTGAAAGGCAAACGCCTGCGTGCTGCTACTGCTCGACATACGCGCTGCTCACGCTCTGCTCACGCGCCGCTGACGCTTGCGGTGTGAAACAGGCGTAACTCTAAACAATTTTATGATCAACAAGTCATGACAACATCTATTTTTATGTTAACTTTAACTTACTAAACCAAGTTATTCATGTTTTTTATTATTCTTTTAAAATATGCAAAGCGTTTTAAGTCAGTTTAATGTAATTCAAGTTAAAATCACTCAAAAGGCTAGTTTGATTTAACTTAACGATTTAATGTAAACTTTTTTTCATAGAGTGAGTTACAAACAGGACTTTAAACTTACACAAAAATTCTGGATTATCAGTTTTCAATCAATCAATCAATCAATCAATCAATCAATCAATCAATCAATCAATCAATCAGAGTTTTCATTGTTGCTAATAAAGAATATTTCTGGAGCACTGATAAACACATCAGAATAATTTATGTAATTAAAATTATGTAATCAAAAATATATTCTGGAATAAATAATTATGTATATAAAAATATTAAAACTTTAGAATTTAGAACTTTAGAAAATTAGAATTTTTACTGGTTAATCTAATCAAAAGATAAATATTTAAAGAATATGACCCAACAATAAAAACATAATATCTACAAATTAAGTTTTCTGTATTTTGTTATTCTTTTTGTTGTTGTTGTTGTTGTTGTTGTTGTTGTTGTTGTTGTTGTTGTTGTTGTTGTTGTTGTTGTTGTTGTTGTTTATTTATGCTTTTGAATTGCATTGTGGGATCCTTCCTCCAACGTTTAATGTTGAAAAGTTTTAAAAGGTGACTTTTACTGACATTTTTTAATTTGAAGTTATATATTGCCTTGGTTTGTGTTATAGAACAAAAACCTGGTGATAGACTGCGAGTACTTTTTACTGTGTTCTTACTTAAT